CTGACTTGTATGGTGAGGTCCAATGTCCCAGGAGTGGGGCCCTCAGGGATCACCAGCTCCAGCTCAGCTGAGTGCCAAGCTCTTCACAGGAAAGTCACCCATCTAGCTCTGTCAGGGCTTAGTGGATCCCTGGGCTCTGTGAGGCTACTGCTTCATCCTGTGTTCCTGTGGGCTCCTATTTGGGACCAGCTGGCTGACATCGGGGAACTCACATCTACTCTCATAACACAGAACTCACTGTGCTGTCACACCCTTTGTGGCTGGGCCACATGAAGATCTGTCTCCCTGGTGGGTTCTCTGACTTCCTCTCCAGCACCTGCCTTTCTCCTCTGGGTCCTATTTAACCAGTATTTGGGGTGGGGGGTAGGAAATAAAGATTTTCAATTTTTTCTTTCACCTGGAACAGTGATATTTTGGAATAAGAAAGCTAGTGTTCTTTTGTCTGTTTATTTTGTTCTGCTTCCCCCCTAGATGACTGTGACTTGACATCCACACACGAACGGGGGACTTCACAGATGGTAGAAGGATCACGACGGAGAGGCAGCACAGGGCAGCACAATCTGGTTCTCAGCTACTGTTTTTTCTACATTCCTCCCTCCACCTAAGTGCAAGTATCACTAAGTTCCTCTGTGCGTGATTTTTTCCTTGGGAAACCTGTCCACATAACACCTTCAACAGTTACCTCTCAGCTCTCACTCTCGACTCTAGGCTTTCATCCTGAATTGGTTCCCAACTAAAATTTATTTGACAAATGTAGATGAAGACCAGAATTAGTTTTTACTCATTTAGAAGTCTAAGCTGCACAAAGTATAGACCACTTGAGTGTGACAATTATTCTGGATGCAGGAGAGTTTTCTATTTTCTGTAAAAAATCCAGAATTTTCTTATGGTTAGATTTTTTTTTTTTTAAACAAGCTGTGCCTTGGGATGTCTGGGTGGCTCAGTTGGTTAAGGGTTTGACTCTTGATTTTAGCTCAGTTCTTGATCTCAGGGTTGTGAGTTCAAAACCCATGTTGGGCTTCAGCAATGGAGCCAGCTAGGTGCCCCAAGCTCCTTTTTTTTTTTTTTTTTTAAGTTTAGTTCTGGAGCTGTAACTCAAGAGTAAATTTGCTGTCCTTCTCCTTCAAATGCCCCTAAGTCTCTGAACATCTCTAGAAGCTGTCCTGTCCAACAGAGTGGCAGTATTTCCTGTGATGGCACAATTGTCCAATCAAACTTGACCCCTGGGGGCGCCTGGGTGGCTCAGTCCATTGGGCTTCCAACTCTTGGCTTCAGCTCAAGTCATGATCTTAGGGTCCTGGGATCAAGCCCTGCATTGGGCTCTGCACTGGGCAGGGAGCCTGCTTGAGGATTCTATCTTACCCTCCCTCTCTGCTCTTCTCCTCCCTCATTCTCTGTCTTTTTCTCAAATATTTTTTTTTAAGCACAGAAGTAAGCTCTCTTTTTTGTAAATATTTATTTATTTATTATTTGAGAGAGAGAAAGAGAGACTGAGTGTGGGGAAGAAGAGAGGGAAAGGGAGAGTGCCAAGCAAACTCCCCACTGAGCTTGGAGCTAACATGGGATTCAGGGCTCAGTCTCACAATCCTGAGGTCATGACCTGAGTCAAAACCACAAGTGGGACCCAGGTGTCCTGCCCCTGTTCTTCTAGGGCAAGTCTCTCCTAAGGCAAAACTAGGATAGAGGTTAAGACCTTAGATCCAGACCCAGACTGCCTAGGTTCAAACTGCTGCTTGGTCACTACTTGCTCTGTGACCTTGGACAAATTTTGGTACTTTTGTATCTGAATTTCCTTACTTATAAAATGTGGATAGTAAGACTCCCTAACTCACTGGGTTTTTGAGAGGGTTAAATGAAGTGCACTGTGAAAGAACTGTCCTGTACTAAGAGTGCAGAAGTAACTAGTATTATATCCTGCTTATCCTTCACTGTTTGATCCCCTCCTGGTCTCACCAGTTTTGACCTTTCACAACTGGTGATATCTATTTATTTGATCTGTATGTGTATCATATATATATATATATATATATGATACACATACATACATACATTTTCATATATATTTTATGTCGCGGCTGGTGCGAGAAGGTCCGGATTCAGGAACCGAGGGCAAGGGGATGAGAAATAAACAAGAAACTAAAAGTTCATGGGATAGGAGGTTCCATGCAGCTGATGGCCACAATGGACAAGCTTTATTTTTACATGTATAGTTTATATAGCCTCTATAAGCAGGTGACCTATTTCTCTAAGGAGAAATACATCTCGTGGACGAACATACATTGTCTTTAAAACTAACAATAGCTAGAACACTGCAAATTCCTATCACTTGTTTTTAAGCAGTAGAGCATGAATGCCACATTTAGAATAAACAATGAGGTTTTTTCATTAAGTAATGACTACCAAGGCAGTCATATGTCAAGCCACTTCCTTGCTTACTTTATGGGAACTTGTCCCAATAATATTTTAAAGGAGAAGCAAATATGTACTTTTACTTCCATAAGGGGGAAGAGCTAGGTGCAGTCCCAGCGGGTTGGCCAGGCATGACAAGGAGCCTTTGCTCAACCTGGAACCCTGCCTCGCACCGCAGGACTGCGGGTTGGCCAGGGACAACAGGGAGCTTTGGCTCAACTTGGAACCCTGCCTCGCACCGCAGGACTGCGGGTTGGCTAGGGACAACAAGGAACTTTGGCTCAACTTGGAACCTTGCCTCGCACCGCGGGACCGCTCCCGACAATTTTATATATTTATATAATATGCACATATTATCTATTTTGGGTCTTACACACACACACAGTTTAAACACTGATAGATATTGTAATATTTTCTTTCAGTAGCTATTGAAGCAATAGGTATGGAAAGGTATTGGCCTGGAGGAGGGTCAGCAAGAGAGAAAGTATTGAGTGTGACATTCAAAGGAAGGTAGTAGGACTTGATGACCATGAATATAGAGGCTCTGGTAGATGAAGGCATCAAACAAACTTTAAGGGACAACCTGGGGTACCTGGGAAGTTAAAGTTAGGGGTGCTGTGCATATGTATTGCTTTGTTAAAAAAGACCACAAACATTATAGTTTAAAACAAAAACAGCCATTTAATTTCTTTCACGGTTTCTTTCCAGATTCAGATAGAGCACACAAGGGAAGCCCACGTCTGCTCCATCATGTCTGGGCTTTTGCCTGGAAGGGTTGAAGGCTGGGAACTAGAATCATCTGAAGGTTTTTTGTCCATATTTCTGCCTGGAAGCCACACAACTTCAATTCTGCCACACTGACTGGTCCAGGCAGTGAGTGTCCCCTGTGAATTCCAGGGAAGCGAACACAGATCTCACCTCTGGCTGGAGGCGTAAGCATAAGTTACCTTGATAGAGGAGCTTGTGGGGTGGGCTAACTCCAGGGCTGGCCGTCCTTCAAAAACACCATCTCCCTCAGCTGCCAACAAAACATAGTATCAACAAAATGTAATGAAGGTTAAGAATTTTACTTCAGGAAAAACATGGGCTTGGGGTAAGTTGAGGTGTTCACTTTGTACACGGTTACTCCTTATCTTCCATATGACAATCAACGTAAAAGAAAGTAATGTTCAAGATACAGAGATTCAAGGTTAAGGAACGGGTTCCCCAAACGTGAGGAAAATAATCATAGCTAACATTTCCGTGGTTCTCTGGGAAAAGGCACAGGAAAGGGATGAAATGTAAAGATGATCAGTTCAGACTCCGGCTCTACCACAGTGTGCAATGGTGAACAAAAAGTTAACTTCTTAATACTTCCGTTAGCTCATTAGTTAAGGGGTGGATGCTGCAGCATCTAATTCATGGTTGTTTTTTTTTTTTTGGTGAAGATTACTATAATACCTAAAAAAAATTAATTATTTTTGAGAGAGAGAGAGCACGAGTGGGAGGGGCAGAGGGGAAGGGAGAGAGAATCCCAAGCAGAGTCTGCGGAGTGAAGAGCCTGACCCTGGGCTGGATCTCATCACCCTGGAGATGACCTGATCTGAAATCGAGGTCCTATGCTTAACCAGCTGGGCCAGCCAGACCCCCCAGGATTAACGTAGTTCTTAACGTGTGGGCACCTGTCTGGTTCAGTAGGTGGAGCATGTGACTTTTTTTTTTTTAAGATTATTTATTTATTTTTTCATGAAAGACACAGAGGAGAGAGAGAGGCAGAGACACGGGCAGACGGAGAAGCAGGCTCCATGCAGGGAGCCCGATGTGGGACTCGATCCCAGGACTCCAGGATCACGCCCTTGGACCAAAGGCAGGTGCTAAACCACTGAGCCACCAGGGTTTCCCCAGCATGTGACTTTTGATTTCTAGGTCTGAGTTCCAGCCCCAGGTTGTGCATAGAGATTACTTAAAAAATAAAAAGAAACTCTTGGGGCGCCTGTGGGGTCGGTCGGTGAGGCGTCCGCCTTCAGCTCAGCTCAGTCATGATCCCAGGGTCCTGGCATCCAGTCCCCCATGGGGCTCCTTGCTCCTCGGGAAGGCCGCTTCTCCCTCCCTGTCTGCCTCCCCACCCCTGTTCGTCTTCTCTCTCTGTCTCAAATAAATAGAATCTTTTAGTAAAAAGAGTGATTCTTATTAATTGCTCCGTAAAATTAGCTATTGACAGGTATCCTATTCCTCCTACTGAAACACAATTGCAAAAGTATCTCACCACACATGAAACGCTAACTGGGTTGCTCAATCGTATTTGGATGAGCCGGGTGGGTCTGAGCGGGAGAAGCAGCTCCGCGAGCGCAGAACGCCCGGGTGACTCCTCCACCGCCGGCCCGGCAAGGTCAGAAGTGGGGTAAAGGGCCTGGCAGCCGGGCAGGGGCCGGGGGGGGGGTGGGGGGGGTGGGGGGGTGGGGGTGGGGGTTGGGCCGGGGGGGGTCGGGTCAGCGCCTGGGGCCGCGTCCGTCCTCTGTGGCCCCGCCCCCTGCCCCCCGCCCGCCGGCCAATGGGCGCGCGCGCCGTCGCCGTCCGCGGCTGCTATTGGAGGAGGGGGCGGGGCGGCGGGGCGGGGGCTTGGCTGCGCGCGCCGACGCTTTCCGCCCTCTGAGGCTTGTCTCCGCGTCCTTCGGTCATGGCTGTGCTAGCGGCCCTTCTGCGCGGTGGCGCCTGCGGGCGCAGCCCCCTGCTCCGGAGGCCGCTGCAGGTGAGGGGGGCTAGGGCCCAGGCCGCGGCTTGCCGGCCCCCGCCTGGGAGAGCCCCTGCCTGCGGCGCGCGGAGCCCCCGGCTTAGGCCTCGGGACCCGCGCCCGGGAAGCCCACCGACGCCGCGCACGCGCACGCGCACGCGCACAACGCGCCGCCACCTGGCGCCTGTGCGTCCCCGGCGTTCGCGGGGTCTCCGCCGCTTCCGCACGCCCTCGCGAGGGTTGCGCGGAGCCCGGCCCGGGCCCTGCTTGACCGCGGCCTGGGCCGTACCGCTGCACCGGGCTCTCTCCGAAATGTGCTTGTGTTCTTGCAGCGGGGCTCCGTCGCGCCTGCTGGGGTGAGGCCCTAAGGGAGAATGGACATAAGCACCTGCTCTGATGCTGCTGCACACTTACGGGGGCAGAATGAGCGGCTCCTCCCCACTCCAGGAGCAGACTGTGTCCTGTGGTGTTGCGTACTGAGGGCGCCCTGAGGTGTGCTTCCCCACTCCCCCTTCTCGTCCTGTGTTTAGGGAACCGGGTGCGAGGGCCTTGAGAAGGGCAGTGCCAGAGCATGGAAACCTGCACCTTGGATTTACCACCTGGCAAAACCTCGGGAGTAGTAGAGAACGCCAGGGCGTGGCTGGTGAGGCGAGTTTGCCAGGTTGGTTTGGGCCAGACATTTTGAAATCCATCCATTGTCGCAAGACTTTGGGCTTGACCCAAGTCAGGGCAGACGGGTGATGTTTTGGGTTTTGTCATAACCAGAAGTCAGGGAGGATGGAAGTGCGGGAAAGAGACATTGTTCTGGCGTGAAGTAACCAGAGCTGTGTGCTGAGGGTATAAAGGGGAGCAGCGTTATGCAGGAGATCTGTGAAAGAATAAATGTAGAACTTGACAAGTAGGGAGTGCATGTGAGGAGCCAAGGGAGAAGGAAGACTCTAAAAATAATCCTGGGTGGGCAGCCCCGGCGGCGCAGCGGTTTAGCGCCGCCTTCAGCCCAGGGCGTGATCCTGGAGACCCTGGAACGAGTCCCACATCGGGCTCCCTGCATGGAGCCTGCTTCTCCCTCTGCCTGTGTCTCTGCCTCTCTCTCTCTCTCTCTGAATAAATAGATAAAATCTTTAAAAAAATTAAAAATAATCCTGGGTGAGTGAGCTAAGAGAGAAGTCAGGAGGTGGGGTTTACAGGAAAGAGTTCTTTTTCCACCTGTAACCAACCTAGTGGCAGAGGGGAATTGGGAAATGTACCCGGATCAGTTCTTGATCAGCAGATTTGTTATTTCATGTACTGATTTGGGAAGTCAGGAAAAATGTATTTAGGTTAACCTGGGTTTCAACCAGTGTTGACCAGGCCTATTAGGTGAACTCAATTCTCTTAAAAAAAAACAAAAACAAAAACCCCAAAACAAATACATAACCCTCTTTTTAAAAAGGTTTTATTTATTTATTTATTCATGAAAGACAGAGAGAGGCAGAGACATAGAGGGAGAAGCAGACTCCCTCTGGGGAGCCCGAAGTGGGACACGATCCCAGGACCCCGGGATCACACCCTGAGCCAAAGGCAGAGACACTCAACTGCTGAGCCACCCCAGAATCCTTGTAATTTATAGTTTAATTAAGATCTTACGATCAAGCACATATTGCTGAGTAGAACGGAGCTGTAGGTTTTACAGTGTATGATTTATGGTGCTCGTTTTTTTGAATTCTAGAATCAGCATTGGTCATTATTTGAAATAAGCAATCGTTTACTGGAAACCTGTTGTAACAAGATTTTCAATAGTTAGTGCCAGTTTGTTGAATGGAACTTGACCTTCACCCATTACACTGGCTCTTTGATGTTTACCTTCAAATACAAAGTCTCCCTTTTGGTTAGCAAAGTAATGAACTAATTTATCAGAGCTTGCCTTTCCCAGCTGTAACCACTTTTTTTTTCTTTTTTAATATCCTTTCTTTTTAAGCCTCTGGAATTAAGACTTCTGTGCCCCTCATTTGAAGAGTACCAGTGGTTTTTTTCTTTCCTCTTGACCTTATGCTGCATTTGATACTATTGACCATCCCCCCCCCTTGAAATACCTGTTTCGCTGTTTTTGACTCCAAATTATTGTTTTAATACTCAGACTTTAAAATACTTCCCTGCAATTTGCCAGTCCTCAGCCCGTTTGCTGCCAGATTCCTTTCCCTCTGTGCGTGTTGCTGTGGGGCTGACCCTTGCAGGTGCAAACATCACAGCGTCTATCAGCTGGCTTCTGGCTGGGAGATTGGAAGGGAGAAGCCAGGATAATTTTTTTCTGTCTGCCCTTAGATGGTATTTCTGATAATGTCTGTGGCTCCTTTGATTCTTCTGCAAGGTGAGCCTGACCCCTTGGCTTTGGTAACCTCCCGCTTCCCTTGTGTCCCAACAGCCTATGTGTGCTAATGCCTTCCTGTTGCTAATCTGTACTGCCTCCCTCTGTTGTTCATAGCTTTTCTATCATCTGTATATTTAATCTCTGCATTAAATTATATTTCAAGTAGAATGGTTTTTATTTTCCCAGTTGGATCCTGATGGATACCCTCACTGTTTTGCTTTCTTCTCATTCCCTTTCACCCTGTGGATTTTTGCACCTCAGTCCTTATACCAGCCAGTATAGAGTTGTGGCAAGCCAGCAGGTAGTGATAGCGATCTGATGTGGAAGGTGCCAGAGATAGCCTGGAGGTAGAATCTGTTGACTTTAATGACTGATTAGCTAAAAGGGGCTTAGTGAGAAGGAGTTGGGTATAATCTGGGGGCCTTGGCCTGCTGTTTAGATGGGTAGTAATGGTTTTCAGAGGAACAGATGTGGCAGCAGAAAGTGATGAGTTGTATTTTGGCCTTGAGTTTGGAGTTGCCATTTTGATCACTAAGAACTGGAGGAAATTGAGATTTAGGAATCAGCAGTGCAGATGAGAATGGCATCCATGGGCATTGATGAGCTCGCTGACAGTGGGTGGGGAGGGCTTGGCATGAGGCCCTTGGGAGACGCGGCGTCAGGACAGTCTGGGTGCGTAGAACACAAAGGTGAGTGAAGAGAGGATGGTGTCATGGAAGAAAAGCCGGGGGATGTAGTGTCTTCTGAAAAGTCAGGGGAGGTGAGATTTTCAACAAGATACCACAAATTGGGCAGCTTTAAACAACAAAAATGTTTCAACAATGTTCTGGAGGCCAGGAAATCTGAAATCATGGTGTTGGCAGGACCCCACACCCTTCCAATCCTGGAGGGAAATCCGCCCCTTGCCTCGTCCTTGCTTCTGGTGCTTTGCTGGCGGGTTTTGGGAGTTCCTTGGTTTGGAGATGTCGTTCCTGCGCTCCATCTGCACATGGCAATCTCCCCCGTCTTCTCTTCATCTTTCTTCTGTGCTTCTCTTTCTTTCTCTGTGTTAAAACTTTATCTTTTTGGGGCATTTGGGTGGCTCAGTGGGTTAAGTGTCTACCTTCGGCTCCGGTCAGGATCTCAGGGCACTGGGATGAAGTGCCCTGCCACTCCCCCTGCTTGTTTTCTCTCTTTCTCTCTGTGTCAGATAAATAAAATCTTAAATTTTTCCCCCCTCTTTTGATAAGGACATCAATCATACTGGATTAAGCCACCCTGATGACCTCATCTTGATTCCTTCTCTAGAGACCAATTTCTAAATAAAATTCTACCCTAAGGCACTGTGGGTTAGGACTTCAAATTGCTTTCTTCTCCTTATCTGTAAACTGTGAATGTTGGGGGCCGCTGGCTGGTTCTGCCTGAATGCACGCTGCAGACCCACCCCTGGCTGCTGCCGCTGTGCTCCTCCCCGGGCTCCTCCCTGCGTCTACCCGGTCGGCCCCCTGCCCTGCGCTCTGTGCACAGTCTTCCTTGGTGGCAGAGCCCTGGCTGGCTTGTCATTGCCCAAACCACTACACAGACTCCTGCTCGTGGGGCCCCACTGGCTGTGCTCCTCCCCCCGTGTCCTCCTCCCTCTGTCCTCACTGCCCTGTGTCCTCCTCCCCCCGTGTCCTCCCCCCCCCGTGTCCTCCTCGCCCCGAGTCCTCCTCCCCTGAGTTCTCCTCCCCCGTGTCCTCCTCCCCATGTCCTCCTTGCCCTGAGTCCTCCTCTTGTGTCCTCCTTGCCCCGTGTCCTCCCCCATGTCCTCCTCCCCGTGTCCTCCTTGCCCCGTGTCCTCCTCCCCCATGTCCTCCTCGCCCCGAGTCCTCCTCCCGTGTCCTTGCCCCGTATCCTCCTCCTTGCCCTGAGTCCTCCTCCCGTGTCCTCCTTGCCCCGTGTCCTCCCACGTGTCCTCACTGCCCCGTGTCCTCCTCCCCCATGTCCTCCTTGCCCTGAGTCCTCCTCCCGTGTCCTCCTTGTCCTGTGTCCTCCCACGTATCCTCACTGCCCCGTGTCCTTCTCCCCCGTGTCCTCCTCGCCCCGAGTCCTCACTGCCCTGTGTCCTTCCCTGGTGTCCTCCTCCCCTGTGTCCTCCCCTGTGTCCTTGCCCCAAGTCCTCACCGCCCCGTGTCCTCCTCCCCCGGTGTCCTCCTCCCCTGTGTCCTCCTCGCCCCAAGTCCTCCTCACCCCATGTCCTCCTCCCCCGAGTCCTCCTCCCCATATCCTCCTCGCCCCATGTCTTCCCATGTGTCCCATGTGTCCTGACTGCCCCGTGTCCTCCTCCCATGTCCTTCCCGCCCCATGTCTTCCCCCGCCGTGTCCTCCCCATGTGCCAGGTGTGTCTGTCTGTCAGGGCCTCAGTTGTGCTGCTTCCCCATGCTGGGTGCGCCCTTCCAGATGCCCCAGGGCTGCCCTTAGCACGGGCTTCTCAGCCGCGGGAGCCGTTCCTGACCCCGACTCCTGACCCCCGTGTGGAGAGGCCCTCCCCTGGTAGCTCTGCGGCCCTTTCTCTGCCTCACGAAGTTCTGGCCCTCCATGTGATGTTGTTCTTCACACTTGCTGGCAAGCATCAGATTTTGTTCAAATATTTGTTCTGTATCTGCCGCCGTCCCGGGGAGAGCGACCGTGAGTAACCACTGTCTCTTCTCGGAGACAGGTGTGGAGACAGGTCACGGGGTCACAAAAGTGCATATTCAGGAAAGCACCAGCGAGCGCCCAGGCTGCTGTGGAGGCTGCCGGGCAGGTGAGCTGCCTGGGGCCCGGGTGCAGCCCAGCCCAGCCCCCCTGACCCTGCCGGTCATGTTGGGCCACTGCCTACAAGGATGCTCCGTGCCCGCGGCCGGCCTGCCCGACCGGGCTTTTCCTCTGCTCCGGGGATCCTCAGGCAGCCCGGCTGGGGCGGGCCGTGAGCGAGGAAGGGCAGCCCTGCTCCCGGGAAGCTGGAGGTCAGTGGAGGTCGGGAGAAGGAGAGAGAGGGACAGAGACGGAGCCACGCTGTTCACGCTGTTCACGCTGTTCACACTGCGGGAGGTGAGCCTGCGGAAGGGAGGAGGGAGGCAGACGTGCCCGGGCTGGCTGGTCGCCGCATGGTCGGGGACAACACCGAGGGAAGGGCTCCTTAGCGCCCTCTGCGTGAACAAGGATAACAAGGATGGGCTGTTCCTGGCGCATCTGGGGTGGGGGTGGGGGATGGGGAACGGGCTGGGGAGGGAGCGGACTCACAGAGCAAGAGTGAGGTAAGTTTGGGAAGAAGTTAGGAGCAGGTTGTTGTGGAATAAAGGAAAGGGTATGGATGTCGTTCCGGGAGCGATGGAAAGCCACCGAAGGACTGACCAGGGCAGTGATGAGATTTGATTGATGTTTTAAAAACTGGATAGAGGGATCCCTGGGTGGCGCAGCGGTTTGGCGCCTGCCTTTGGCCCAGGGCGCGATCCTGGAGACCCAGGATCGAATCCCACGTCGTTGGGCTCCCGGTGCATGGAGCCTGCTTCTCCCTCTGCCTGTGTCTCTGCGCCTCTCTCTCTCTCTCTCTCTCTGTGACTATCATAAGTAAATTAAAAAAAAAAATTAAAAAAAAAAACTGGATAGACCGCGGGTCAGCGTCAAGTGGCTGTGACACTAGCAGGAGAGGTGGCTGGGCTTCCGAGGCTGTGGTGGAGATGGAGCAGGGAGGGAGGTGGCGGCTGTTTGGATGCAGAGTTGGCAGCGTCCGCCCTAGAGTACCTGGTCTCAGGGCAGATGGAGAGCAAGTCCTAGGATTGTGGCTTATGCACCCCGTGTCCTCACCCCCATGTCCTCCTCGCTGGTGGTAGTGCGGCGCTCCGAGGTGGGACGTACCGGGGAGAGGCTGCCTTCCTGGGTGGAAGTTGGGCGCACTCATTCGGACGTTACACTCAAGTGGTCATGGCAGCACTTGGCCTCTGGGTCTGGGGGTGAGTGCAGAGGTCAAGGCTGGAGACTGCGCTGGGCCAGTCCTGAGGATGGACATGTTGTTTCAGGAGACACAAGGGCTGGGAGAGGCCGTGGGACGTGGGGCTTTCCAGCCCCGGAGATGGTGGGGGGGCAGGGGAGGAGGAGATGCCGCACCCAGGTGGGAGGGGACCTCAGACAGTGTGGACAGGGACCGGGAGGCGGTGGCTCGGTCCACTCCCCCAGCGCCCTGTGGAGGAGGACAGCCAGCTGGCAGTGCCGTGCCCACCGGAGCGGAGCCGGCAGAGTGGACAGCCTGGTGGAGGCGGTCAGACCGTGAACAGGAGGGGAGGACCGGGCAGCAAACTTGGAGTTGCTGGGTGGAGGACTCGTGTGTCTGGGAGCCAGGAAATGAGGTGAAGGCTCGGGGGAATGTGGGTTCAGGGAGCTGTGCTTGTGTGGGTGGGAGGAACTGGAGCCTGTTTGTGGGCTTGTGGAGGGTCCAGGAGGATGGGGTGAGGGGAGCGAGGGAGGGGGACCTGAGGGTGTGGCATCTGGAGGGTGAAGCACAACTGGAGGTGGTGCGGGGGCGGGGGGGGGGGCGAAATGGAGATACCAGAAACCTTGCAGGAGACACACAGCTTAGTGGAGGTGCTGTGACTGCAGGGAGCTGCCTCTCATTCCCGGCTCCCCCGAGAGGGCACTTCTGACAACACATTGGAGGCCAGCCCTTGGCACCCAAGGCTGGGAAGTAAAGCGGTGCTGGCCTGGTTGGAACCCTGACTTCACGGTCACTGACCAAGGCACCTCCTCTGCTCTGCTGTGTGGCCTGCTCTTTGCCCTTCTCGGAGTATTTTTGTTCTGTTCCCTGCTTCTCTGCTTTCATCCTGCCGTAGTGTCTGCTTTGACACGGTGTTGCTTAGCTGTGGTGCCCCCTAGCTCCAGCACCTGGGACCTCTCAGCTCACATGCCTGTCGTCATTGGTTGACCCGGTCTCAGTGCCAGCTTGGGTCAGAGTCCACCTCACTCTTGGTCCCTCCGGCCCTGGGGCCAGCGGGGGGTGGGAGTCAGAGGTACTCAGGGCAGTGCCTTCCGCATCCTTCTGAGGAAGGAGTGTAGTTGGAGAGGCAGTGACCGGCATGTCTACCACGAATGGGGACTATCACTGCTTTAGATAGAGACCACAGAGTATGATAATGGGTTTCCATTAAAAGTGTGTTAGTTTCCAAATATTTGGGAATCCAAGTCGAAACTTGTAAGACAGAGTTCAATCAATATGCTGAAATTCTTCACAATAAGTAGGTTCTAGGGGCAACACTCCAAATTATGTGTATGTCAAGGGGGCACTTGATCTTGCATGGCTGACAGGGAGGAGTCCTTCGGTGAGGCAGATGGACTCAGATCTCCTCTGAACCCAAGGGGTGGCTTGTTTATTATGCCTCTTGTGTTTTTACCAACTTGTCTTTGGACGGTGGAATATGTATGGGTAATTTTAACATTTCTCCTTTTGTAAACGTGTAATGCTGCTTGAGTGTAGGGACCATATTTTATAGGATCTCAAGTTCCCAACATGCCTTCTGGAAAGTCAGTGATCTCAGTGGTTACTGAGCCAGTGAGGGATCAGGTCGTAGTAGGTGACTCTGTCATCTCTTCCTCACAAAGACTGTAAAGCCATCTCTTCTGAATAGGGGTTGCACTGAAGATGATAATAATTATATTTTTGAATTAAATCAGGATTAAATTAGGTTATTTCTTATGGCAGAATTATTTTGTTTTGTCTTTAGATTTTATTTATTTATTCATGAGGGGATCCCTGGGTGGCTTGGTGGTTTGGTGCCTGCCGTTGGCCCAGGGTGTGATCCTGGAGACCTGGGATCGAGTCTCAAGTCAGGCTCCCTGCATGGAGCCTGCTTCTCCCTCTGCCTGCGTCTCTGCCTCTCTCTGTCTCTCGTGAATAAATAAATAAAAAACAATCTTTAAAAAAAATATATTTATTCACGAGAGAGAGAGAGCCTGACGTGAGACTCGATCCCAGGTCTCCAGGATCACACCCTGGGCTGAAGGCGGCACTAAACTGCTGAGCCACCTGGGCTGCCCATTATAGCAGAATTGTTGATATCAGCTTTCTACATAAAAGTGACTCTGTCATTTTAACACTGGAAAAACGATTGTCTGAAATTCTGTGCTCCTCCCGCCCCAGTAAAACATTCTGTCTCCAAGCTGCCATATGCACGTATCCGTTCTCATCTACTCACTTTACAAAGCAGTTTGGGGAGGATACCTTGTGGTGGTTGTGGTTCTCTCTCTGCTGTAGCTTCTCTGTCGCATCTGTGTTCTTTTTGTACTCTTCTAAGTTGAAGCTTTAACTGGTTGTTTGCACTAAGACCAACTTTTAGATATTTGTAGGCTGCTGATTGCTCTGAGATACAATTGGCCATTGATAACTATCAACGAGATTAGGTTCTAAATACGAGTGGTCATATTTGAATATTTATTAAGCTTTCTGACTTCAGAGGATAAAAAAATTAATTCTTCATTCTGTGAATTGTCCAGTTTGAGATCAGTCAGGTCTCTGAACTGTGACTTGTATTATCTCTACTTGTTCTTGGCATTTATTTCTAAGAGCAGTGTGGAAAGAATTGAGATGTAGGGGCAGTTACTTGCAGTTTTCTTTCTTAAAAAATAACATATTTGGTAATACAGACCATATTTATATGAGGTGGGTTTGCTTCAGATGAATCAGATCCATTCATTAGAAGTAGATGAAGGAAATAGCAGGTTTTATTTAAATATTTTTTGAGCAATAAGGACATTTTCTTGTGGTAGTCTAAAATAAATGTAGAACTTACAATTTAACTTAAAACTACATTTTATAAAACTTTATTTTTTATTTTTTTTTAATTTTTTATTTATTTATGATAGTCACAGAGAGAGAGAGGCAGAGACACAGGCAGAGGGAGAAGCAGGCTCCATGCACCGGGAGCCCGATGCGGGACTCGATCCTGGGTCTCCAGGATCGCGCCCTGGGCCAAAGGCAGGCGCCAAACCGCTGCGCCACCCAGGGTTCCCCACATTTTATAAAACTTTAAAAAGGCTTAAGGATTTTAAACTTTATGAAGTTATCAGAAGTTAAAATTTGCAGTGAGGAGCTAATCAGAAAAGTATATTCCAAAACAGTGATTTTTTTTTTAATGATTATAACAGTGACATATGCTGTGAAGAACGTGGAAATAAAAATATAAGGAAGCAGAAAGAAATCACCGGAACTCCACCACTGAGAGATGTAAATTAGAATTTTTTATGTTGTAACTTTAAAAATCTTTACATTACAGGCAATCAGATACGTGGAGCGAAGTTACGTGTCAAAACCCACTTTGAATGTAAGTATGTTTAAATTGTGCTTTAAAATTTCAAGAATTTAAAGAGAAATATAGTCTTAAAAATGTATATTCTTATATGTGCATAGATATGGGGTCCCCCTGGGATGCTGTGGGGTTAGAATGGCTCACTGTTGAAATCCTAAATTAAACTCCCAAATGCCAGTGAAGAGATCTCTGTCTGGCGTCCTGCTCAGTTTCTGCTGCTGCTTGCCAGTGTCTTCTGCAGAACAAACTTTTAACTGTGCGGTATCCTTCTTGACACTCCGGGACCCTCATCATTGGGTGTAGGACACTGCAGAGGCCACGTGGAAGATACTAGGAGGAAGGGGCCAGTCCAGGCTGGGGATAAGACAGGGAGGACCGTTGTCTGTTTGCTGGGTGCTTTCTTAGGGCTGCCCTGGATCCTATGGGTCCCTTGGATGACTTAGTGATAGCCTTCTGTCAAAATGGAAGGAGCAGCTCTCATATTTATCTCTGAGCTTAGTAGGAGAATGTGGAAGGCAAGTGTGAGGAGAGAGTTGTTAAAATGAGAGTTTGATGCTGTTTACGAGAGCTTTTGTCTGCTTCTTAAAGTTCATATTACTGTTATTAATCATTTAAGAAACAGTAGCTCCACATGTCCTTTTAAGGGGTGCTGTCCCACGCAGCATGTGGGCCTGGGCTCCTCGCCCAGAGTTGCCTTCAGGAAGGATGTCGTTTGGTTGGGGTTCTTGACTGAGCAGTGAACACGGGTCAAGTGATCATGTCTTACATTTTCACTGCAGAGTAGAAGTGAAATTTCAGCTTCTACTTTTAAACCGCCTGAGGACAGTTGGGAAGGATCTAGGTGTATTTTAGAGTTGGTTTGTCTGAGGTTTTCTGTTGGATCTGAAATCATAACGCAGCATCAGTGAGCTGATGAGTCTTCCTGCTGCTCCCATAGTGAGGTTAATCTTCATTGAGTAAATGGTCATTCATCAAGATGTCTGTGTCTTAGGTAATAACGTGGTTCCTCCCCCTTCTTCATGCTCCACTTGGCCATGGTCAGCGTCTGTGGTAACCCGGTGCCGACACAGTCTGTGTCTGTCACTCGCCTTCATCTTGTCACGAAGACATGTCATCATCTCATACCGCCCTCGCCAGGGCGAGTCCAGCACACAATGTTGAGAGACCACATTCTCATAGCTTGTGTTACAGCATATTGTTACAACTTCCGTTTGATGAGTTACTGCTGCTGGTCTTCTGAGCCTGGCTTCATTTTGGGTGTGTATGTGTAGAGAAGACAAACTGTGGCGTTCAGTTCTCTCTGCGGTTTCTTGCACCCATTGGGCGTCTCCGAACATATTCCCCAGGGATAAGCTTGGGGGACTACTATGTATCTGAATTATGTGTATTTAATGAAAGATGGTTTGGATACAATATTTAAATGTAATGAGTTTTACTGACTTCTGTCTTGCCAGGAGGTGGTCATAGTAAGTGCTGCAAGAACACCCATTGGATCCTTTTTGGGCAGCCTTTCCTCCCTGCCGGCCACTAAACTTGGTTCCATTGCAATTCAGGGAGTCATTGAAAAGGCAGGTCAGTAGCTACTTTGCTTTTCTGGCTTGTTGTTGTTGTTTGTAATACTTGTTTTGCACTTATTATATACATAACACTTAGAGACACTCAGTGCCTGTATTTCTAAACTTCCTTGTAAAGAAATCCTTGTATTACGTTTAGGATGAAACTCAAAGCTGACAAGAAGAAACCGTTCCTGCTGTGTAATATCATGTATCTTATTAGATAATCACTAATTACATCTAAATTGAATAAAACATGGAAATGCAGTTTTGTTTTTGTAATCAAAGGGATTCCAAAAGAAGAAGTGAAGGAAGCCTACATGGGGAATGTCCTACAAGGAGGCGAGGGACAGGCCCCGACGAGGCAAGCGGTGCTGGGTGCAGGTACTGGGGATACATCTTTGCTTTTATATGTAAAATGTTTGGGAGAGCAAAATGGAGGCTGTTCAGCTTAAATACAATGTTAAATGCATAACATGATGCAGACTGAAATTGGCGGGAGTGAGGATGTTGTGATTAGAGGCTGACCTGCTCTGTTGTACTAATCTACATCCTAGAGTTGTGTTTGAAGAGTATCTTCGCTTTTCCGGACTGACTTGTGTTGGTTTTAGGCTTACCTATTTCTACCCCGTGCACCACTGTAAACAAAGTCTGTGCCTCCGGAATGAAGGCCATCATGATGGCCTCTCAGAGTCTCATGTGTGGGCATCAGGTAAGAAGAACTTCTTTCCCATATTATAACTAAAATAATACATAGTGTTAAAGACACACTAAAAATCTGAGAACATTTGTGCTTTAGAAGTGATAATCTTTCTCCTCAGTGCAGCTGCTGTGTTGTTTCTGATGGTCAGGAGTGTCTGAGTTTCTGTCTTCTGTTGGGGAGGAGGTCAAATGTTAGCTTGTCTTGGTTTTGGTCTTCAGGTGACCCTTTATTTGGTCTTTTCTGAGATTCTGGGAGACTCAAAACAAATTTTGTATTTGCCAGAAGAGTGTTCATCATAGATAAGAATAAGGCTGACCCTGGAATTCGATGACTGACCACATCCAGATATGATGACCTATCTAAGCACCCGTGTTCATTTGTTAGATCGTGCTTTCCACTGGCTTCAATGATTCACTCTCATCTTGGCCTGAGGTCAAGCAGGAGGTGGCTGCTCACTCAGCATGTATGTGCTTTGGTGTGAGGAGAGCAGACGCAGATTCACGGACTGAGAGTTGATCAGTTGACCAAGTCCTTCCTTTTTCACTTGGGTGGAGTGAGGCTGAGACACTGCTGACAGTTACAGGGTTGAAATGAGAAAACAGGTGTCTTCATCCCCATCTGGTGCCTTCTCGCCTCTCAGGGGTATGCTGCACGAGGGCCTTGGGTGGGGTGTGTGCAGGTTACTGCTCATGCACACCTGAACCACAGCGAAGTGCGCCACTGCTCTCACTCCTCCCCTGCTTTGTTTCCAGGTATAAGGCAAGGCAGAGGGGGAAAGGGGAGAGTGCTATCTGGCTAATGTGGCCCATGCTTTATTATAAACCATGTATGCACATGCAGATACTGAAATGCTACAGAAAAGTATAAAAGGAGTAAGTCTTCTTTAGCCTCACTGTCCATCACTCTCTTGTGTGTTCTGCCACTAAGAACAGAGAAACTTTGGGCAAGTTGCTTGAGCCCTGTACCCCATTTAATGTCTGGGAAGTCTTTCTACATCAGCACGGAGGTTAGTGTTGTACTGATTGAACCACGATAGCTTATAATGTGGGCCTGACTGAATAGACGTCTGGTTATCTCCCCTTCTTCACTGTTTTCAGTAATGCTGTCATGCATACCTCTATGCTTCTGTCTTTGTAAATACTTCTAAATACTTGACCAAAAAGTCTAAAGCAGGACAGTGTAGTGCTAAGAACAGCAAGTCTTAGAGCCAGACTAGTGGGAAATCCTCCCTCTGCCCCATGAGCTGAGCACCTGCCATGTGACGTTCCCTGGACACTGGTGGACAAAATGTTAAAATCTCATCGTGTACAAATTGATCTGTTGGAAAAATAACTAAGGAGAGCTTGAGTCAGAAGATCTTCAGATTATATTTTCAAATGCTTTCCATAAAAGTGGTACCAGTTGCACACTTAGTAAATGTTGGGAGCTTGTTTATACAGAGGGTAACACCACCATGGGATGTTACTAAGCCCTTGTCACAACAGCGAGTAGAAATCAGTGGAGATTGTTTACAGGTTGGAAAAGTGAGAAGGACAGTTTTGTCTCAGTTGATTTATTGTGATTTTTCTAGCAAATGCTATTTGCACTACATTGAAATGCTTTCAGCTGGTATTTATTTGCATGTATACAATTACCTGACTTACAGGAAAACTAAGAATAAATATTTTGAATATTTAATTACCTTTTATTTTGGAAAGTGGCCGTTTTTATTTTGTGTTGAAGAATAATTGCTACCTTATTTTCTGTCACTTATTACTGCCATCATCTCCAGGAAATATTCAGTATTTTACATGAGAACTAATTGAGAATCTCCTGATTTCAAAACCAGCAAAATATTTAGGTTTCTTTGGAAATTGTATTGGTCTTAATTCCTGATTAAAGGCTGTGAGAAAAAACTTGCCTTTAATGTTCAATGTTTTACATTAAACTATTTGTTTTAAATTAGCTCTTCTATGCAAATTCCTTTTTTTGGTTTGCGCTCACAGGTTAATTGGTTAATACTCATTAAATGTCTGTATATGCCAGGCCCCAGTGACAAAATCAACGTGACAAGGTTTCTAGCCTTAAAAGGAGCTCTCTGGTAACAAGGGACGTACAGATAGAGCTCTAGGGCAGTGCCGGAGTGCTAATAAAAGTGTTACTCAGTAATTGGGGAACAAAAAAGAAGGAAGGGCAAGTGTTCCAAGAAGATGCAGGTGGTCAGGGAAAGCGCACAGTGGCCACGTTTTGGTTAGTTTTAGTGGAAATAACAGGTGTTTCACATATTGGTGGATGGGTCAAAGTGTGCAGGGGTGTGTGAGTGTAGCAGAGGTCGTGGATGACCTGACTGGAAGGAGAGAGAAGCCTTCCGTGAGAAGGCCGAGGAGTCCTCCAAGGAGGGGAATGAGGAGGCTGAACATTCCAGCCAAAATGACTTGCGTGTGTGTGTAGATGCTGCTGGGGTGGAAGCAAGGATGCATGTCATGATCATGTAGGAGGTTGCCACAGGGGTCTGGGAAAAGGTGGTCAAGAGGATTTCCACCAAAGAAGTAGGAATATTTCTGCAAACACAAATACTTGTCATCTTTTAGAAGACATTAAATGTTTAGCAGTGTTGAGTGCCACTAAGGGTTAGAAGAACATCAGGAAATGGTCAGTCCTACATGAAGGATCCTGGAATTCTCAGAAATACTTGATTCTTAATTATCATTACAGATTTTAGAGACCATTTCTTTTCATCAGGATCAAAGAGGGTACTTCCAGTATTTGCCATGTAACAGATGAATGAAGTCCACAGACACTTGTTTGTGATAGCTGGGTAGTGGGTATACTGGCTTGTAGCTTGTTTGAATTGACATGGTTTTTGTTGTTGAGCAGGATGTGATGGTGGCAGGTGGGATGGAGAGCATGTCCAATGTCCCCTACGTCATGAGCAGAGGAGCCACCCCATATGGTGGTGTAAAGCTTGAAGATTTGATTGTAAAAGATGGACTCACTGATGTCTACAATAAAATCCATATGGTAATTACTGATTTTTAAGGAGAAATGCCCTCCAGTAAACAATCCTGCTTGATTTTATTTGCCTTTGAAATACCAACTTCTAGGCTAACTCAAGTATCTAAATATGAAACATGAGTGAAAAATGACCTAGTACAGAAAGAGTTGTATTTTAAGAAACTGTTTAACTACTAACCACTATTTTACATTACGCACGTTAATAGGTATTTTATAAGTTATGCAAAGTAAATTGTTTTTTAAGGATTTCAACTTTTTTCAGGGAAACTGTGCTGAGAACACTGCGAAGAAGATGAACATTACACGGGAAGAGCAGGACACATATGCGCTGAGCTCCTACACCAGGAGTAAAGTGGCGTGGGAGGCGGGAAGATTTGGAAGTGAAGTGATCCCAGTCACAGTCACAACCAAAGGTAGAGGGATGATGCTTCAAAACAGATTTTAATTTTTTTTTTTTTTATTTTTTATTTTTTTTTATTTTTATTTTTTTTTAAGATTTTGTTTATTTATTCATGAGAGACACAGACAGAGAGAGAGGGGGCAGAGACACAGGCAGAGAGAGAAGCGGGCTCCATGCAGGGAGCCCGATGTGGGACTCGATCCCAGGTCTCCAGGATCACGCCCTGGACCGAAGGCAGGCGCTAAACCTCTGAGCCACCCAGGGATCCCCCCCAGATTTTAATTTTTAGAATTCACAGGTTGCTAAAAATTTTGCTTTAAATTAGTTCATTTTTATCTTTGTTCAATTGAAGACAAAGATACTTTTGCTTATGGTTCATAGAGGGAAATGCTGCTAAGTTAGAATTCAGTTCAACCCAATGTAATACCAGCTTCCAACTCAACTGCAAGTTCCACTAAGGATGTTTTCAGTTTGAGAAATGGAATGGAAAGGAAATCTGATATAAGCAACAGACAGTTTATTAGCCTTTTAAGTGAGAGAGAGAGTGGCTAGGGCACCTCCCAGAACTAAGGCTGTGTGTCAGGAAGCAGCAGTGCGGGGGCTCCAGGGACGGGACCTGGGTACCCCTTGCTGCATGCTCTGAGCCTGTCTCCATCTACAGTGGCCCCTGCAGTGCTCAGTCACAGAGTAGGAGCTCTTTGCACCCACTCCACAGAATCCACAATCTCAATGGTCTCATTCCCATTGAGAAATGTTGACTAGGTTCAGAATGGTGGGATCCCCTGCTGTCAGGAGAATGGATGGGATCTGTGATCAAAGAAGGGGGAAGAGAAGAGGATGGGATGTGGCCGAATCAAAGATTTTTAAACTGTGTTAAACTACTTAATAAACTTTTTAAGGTCACTAACAGAGATTATAGGTGATAGATTCTAGAGCAGGGTTTACTTGGGATGTGAGTGGTGCATCCTTGTGTGGGAGTGTCTCACTGAGTGACTGGTGATAACCTAAAAACTTGTGTTGTAGGCAAACCAGATGTACTGGTGACAGAAGATGAAGAATATAAACGTGTTGACTTTAGCAAAGTTCCAAAGCTAAAGACAGTTTTCCAGAAAGAAAATGGTTAGTATGAAGAAATGAAGCATGACAAAAAATGAAGTTATACCATCTCGGGTCTTGGAACTGCCTAAGGATTTTAAAACAGCAACTCTAGAAAACATCCAGATGTTATTTAACATTTTCAGTATGTCAGGCTCATGTGAGAATAACATATCCAAAATTATTTAAAGTTGTTGAATACCTTCAATAATATAAATTCTAGGGAAGAGATTATAGGATGAATATAGAATTGTTTTTCATATGTAATTCCTATTGAAAGTTTGTGAAATGAGGTGTTTATACATTAAATCCCTATCAGATTCTTTTTTTTTTAAAAAGATTTTGAGAGCAAATGAACGAGCAAGAGAGCATGAGCAGGAGGAGGGGCAAAGGGAGAAATAGACTCCCCACTGAGCAGGGAGCCCAGCTCAGGCCAGCTCAATCCTGGACCTGAACCCAAGGCAGATGCTTACTGGACTGAGCCACCCAGGTGCCCCCCTGTAAGATTCTTGAGGAATAAGGGGACAACAGTGTTGTCATTGTTTTATTTCCAGTGTCTGGCATATAGTAAGTCCTAAGTAACTAATAACTGTTGGATGCTATCATAAATGGGATTCCAGTGTTCTCAATTAATGCTTTTGAAATCCTTGAGGTGGTCCTCAATTTCCTTTTAAAATTGGCTGTATACAGTTGTGATAATCCAAAGTTACTCTTCTGCCTTTCCTGATTTGAATTTCTAAATACTAACTATAGGGATGGATCAGTATTTTTTCAAGCATCATATTAAGTATTTTTTATTTTTTTTTTTTTGCAAAAGTTTACTTGTAGCTGCAACTTGGTCTTGGTTTTAATTTTATAAAAGCTTAGTTGACATAATTTACATACTGTAAAATTTTAAATGTATAGTTTAATGATTTTTAGTATTCTTGACATTTAACTTCAAGTGACTGTAGAGAAGAACCTGATTATGATGCGGTATCTGCTCTATTGTGGATAAGCAAAGTTAGACTCGGGGGAAGAAAAATAAGGAACTGGTCTTTATCTTTGAAGACTTGTAAATCCGCATTTACCTACTGCCATCATGCATGTGTTCCTGGGTTAGGTTTGAACAATCTGTTAGAAAACTAACACAAGATGGACTTTTATAGTTGTAATATATATAGTTAACTACATGTATGTTTCCTGAAAGCAGTAATTACCTCCATATGTATTGGTCATTTTTCACGCACAAAGCAGTAATTTAAGTTGAACCAAATGAATTCAGTGTGAAAGTATGCTTTTGACTTCATGCTCACTGCTCCTTTCAGGCACAGTAACAGCTGCCAACGCAAGCACGCTGAATGATGGTGCTGCCGCTGTGGTGCTGATGACTGCAGATGCAGCCAGGAGGCTCAACGTGAAACCGCTGGCAAGAGTAGCAGGTAGAAAATGTTTGAAACTTGTTTCTTCCTAAACCTCTTTAAGCTTCCTGAAATGGAGTTTCTGTGCTGGTAATGTGCAATGTTGAAGTTGGCTACTTACTATCTAGAGGTTGTACTGTGTGACAGAATGTAACAAATAGATATTTTGAGATAGAAGCTCCTTTAGTATTTGTTATAACTCATTTTACAGAAGAGTAAGCTTTAAGAATCTTTTCCTTTTCTGTATGATGAGTAGGAGCATATCAGGTACATGTTTTACCCTGGCATGGAGGGAAAAGGTAGCTAGGTAAATTAAGAATATGAAATTGAGGGTGTAGGAAGAGGAAATCTAGGTATTTTTGCATTTATCCATGTAACCTGTCTTACTCTCAATCTCCTTAAACATTTTTAGCTGTAATATCTTCCTGGTTTTCTTAATGACTTAAATATAGTTTTGTTACTTTTAAAAACCTTACAACTTTATATTTTAAAAAAAATTTGAGAGAGAAAGGGGAAGAGAGACAGACTTGCCGCCAAGCGTGGAACCCGTGCAATCCCATTACCTTGGGATCAAGACCTGAGTTGAAAGTCAGACATGTTATTAACCTCCTGAGCCACACAGGCACCCCTTCATTTTTTTTAAAATTTTTATTTATTTATGATAGTCACAGAGAGAGAGAGAGAGAGAGAGAGGCAGAGACACAGGCAGAGGGAGAAGCAGGCTCCATGCACTGGGAGCCCGACGTGGGACTCGATCCCCGGTCTCCAGGATCGTGCCCTGGGCCAAAGACAGGCGCTAAACCGCTGCGCCACCCAGGGATCCCCACCCCTTCATTTTTAGTTGAGATCTCGGGTTTCTTAACCTCAGCATTTCTGGCATTTTGCAACAAATAATTTGTTCCTGAGGCTATTCTACACATTAAAAAAAAAAAAATCCTCCCAAGATTTTATTAGGGAGGGAGAGGGAGAAGTAGGCTCCTTGCTGACTCAGGAGCCCAAGTTGGGGATCATGACCTGAACTGAACCCAGTGAGCCACCAAGGTGCGCCCTCAGCCTCTACACCTTGGATGCTGCAGTAAGTGGAATTGTGTCCCGGGAGACAAATTCTCCCAACCTCCTACTTATGAAAATCAATGGTGTAGATGATGGATCTAATTTTATAAAGTTTAGAATCTTAGAAAAGGAACAAATACATTTACATCTATTGGGATTTGGAAGCTTGCAGTTTTGCATATTATATATAACAACTGTTAGATATCACTTGCAGAAGATTTTAATGATCTATTAATTTTTTTTTTTTTAAATAAAGCATTTGCTGATGCTGCTGTGGAACCTATTGATTTTCCAGTTGCACCTGCGTATGCTGTACCTAAGGTGAGAACAAAGTGAGGGGACGTACTCTGTCACTGTCATGCCAGCTTCTGGTGTGCAGATGGCAAAGCTGTAGGGTTTAGGTGTTGAATTTTCATCTGCTGAAGCCTAGAGATAGCTTGGTATCAAATCTTCCCATTTTTTTTTTTTTAAGATTTATTTATTTGAGAGAGAGAGAGAGAACACGAGTGGAGGGAGGAGCAGAGGGAGCAGCAGACTCTCTGCTGAGCAGGGAGCCCAACCTGGGGCTTGATCCCAGAACCCTGAGGTCATGACCTGAACTGAAGGCAGATGCTTAATCCACTAAGCCACCCAGGTGCCCCCAAATATTCTAACTAATGAAAACATTTTGAGCAACCTACCAACAACTACTGCTTCAGTGGAACAGATAAAAAGTACATTTTGAAGAACACCTACATCCTCCAGGCTGGCACTTGGTCTCTAAGGGAAGTTGCTTCAGAGTCACAGGAGACAGAGCTGAAGACGTGATTTCAGCAAGGAGAGGGCCTTGCCCTGGTAGAGACCTTCTGAGACCAGCATCCAGCAGAGCAGAAAGCAGTGAGGAATACCAGGAAAGAGGATCAGAAGGGAGCAGAATCACCCAGTTTCTGAGGGAGATGTGCAGTTTTGAAGGCAGAGTTCCAATCCTGCCTCTGGCTGGACTGAGAGCCAGAGAAGTTGCCACTTGGGGCACTGTGTTCTGTCTTGTGCAGTTGGAGCTGTGCAGCTTAGAAAGCTGAGCCTGCTGGAGGCAGAGAGGAAGGGGGGGGGGGGGAAGAGTTTTGGGTTAATTTTATGGTTGCTCACAACAACAATTTCTAAAGAAAAAGGACAGTAACAATATTATAGATAATCTCATAAGGATAATAACCATTAGCCCCATAACACCCTTCTGCACAGCTGAGGAACTGTCAGCTAACAGAATAAAAGACCTGAGATAATTTGTAATGAAGATATAATAGCTAAGAATGTCTGTGCCCATATAGCCCCACAGCAACTTTTATAAAGGATAAGCTTAGGAGATATGGAAAAAACATACTAAGAGTAGAAACTAATACACCTCTCTCATTTGACAGATCAAAAATCTACAACTAAGCAACACAGTCAAGTAATCTTAAGGCTATCAAGTTAAAACCCCCAAACAGAGAATATATGTTCTTTTCAGGTATCCATGGAATGTTCAAGAAAATCTAGTTCTTTCTGTTGCAGCAAAATAGAAGTACATTCTATGGTCACAGTGCAGTAAGATGAGAAATGAAAATCAGAAAATAAAAGGCTCTTCTTCCTGGAAACTAAGGAACTCCATATTTAAATATCTCTTGCCACGGGACACCTGGGTGGCTCAGCAGTTAAGTTTCTGCCTTTGGCTCAGGTTGTAATCCCAGGGTCCTGGGATCGAGTCCCACATCAGGCTCCCTGCATGGAGCCTGCTTCTCCCTCTGCCTATGTCTCTGCCTCTCTGTGTCTCTCATTATTCATAAATCTTTAAAAAAAAATCTCTTGCCTCAAGGAGAAATAGAAACCCAAATTGCAGAATTCCAAGAAAACAATGAAAATAAGTTTTGACTATTGTTAAAAAAAATTATAGGTTCTTAGAGATGCAGGACTGAAGAAAGAGGACATTACGATGTGGGAAGTAAATGAAGCCTTTAGCCTGGTTGTACTAGCAAACATCAAAATGCTGGACCTGGACCCCCAAAAAGTAAACATGAATGGAGGAGCTGTTTCTCTGGGACATCCGATTGGGTAGGTAGAATCATCAATAGCTCTGTCCAGGCTCCTGGATACCTAATGGTGGTTTTGTCTGAACCTTAACTATTTCATGCTAACGCCTGTTACTCTTGGTGGAACTGGCTTCCTTCCCACCTGTCCTTGAAAGGCAAACACCACTTCTGATAGGATCTAACACCGAACACAGAGCTGCTGCATTTGTTACCCAACAACTAATACTATTTTAAGATTAAAATCTATGCTTTGGCTTTTTAAAAAGCTGTAACTCTTCTTGCATGTCTCCTACATTTAAGGAGTTAAATTCTGTAAGTTAATTTGGGTGTGCAACATGTTTTGGTTAGGTATTCTATAATTTATTAACACAAATGCTTTCTTAATCCTAGGATGTCTGGAGCCAGGATTGTCGTTCACTTGGTTCATGCCTTGAAGCAGGGAGAATATGGTCTTGCAAGTATTTGCAATGGAGGAGGAGGTGCTTCTGCCCTGTTGATCCAGAAGCTGTAGACAACTTGTGTCATCCAAAGCAACAATACTACATGGATCCTGTAATCATGACTGACCACCTGGGTCAGGTTATTCAATCTGTTTCATTTTCTATTTTTTTTCTAATATTTTTATAAGCAGATAAGTTCAGCTCTCAAACCTTCTGAAATTATAAATTTTTCTTCCTGTTTTAAAAGTCTCTTGTAATCTTTAGAAGTTCAAAATGTTATATATAGCTAATTTAGGTTGAGTAGACTCTTTAAAGTGTTTGCTACAAATAGGACATACCCATGTGCTCAGGGCTAGAGGGGGAACCATTTCTCAGAACACTGGCAGGCAGTGTTTGGGGGTTTGGCCTCTGGTTACTAGAGCAGCACAGAGAGAAAAAGTTAGGGTGGGGGGACTGCTCAACTGAATGGATTTATACAATGAAGAGACTTCTGAAACAGGACAGAATGCAGCACAAGTATCCAACTGCATTTCATCTGGGGAACCCACAAGGTTGGCAGGTGCTGTATCCACAAGTTCTGGGCAAATGATTCTTGTGGATCCTTATCTTAGAAGGAACAAAATGTGACAATATAAGGAAAAAATAATGTTAAGATTCAGACAGAATACTTAAAAAATCTGTATGGTAATCACAGCTAATACTTGCAGCTCATTCACTAAGTATTGTCCTAGAGACTTTTAATCTGTATGGAGTCCTTTGGGCCTTGTAAGAACTCAAGAAGGTGGGCACTATCCCTTCCTCTCAGGTACAAGTGAGGACACTGAGGCACAGGGTAGGGGGACTACAATGCCAAGTTGCTTGGTAAGTAGCCGAGCTGTGTCCGATCCATGCAGTCCCACTGCTCCTGTGCTCAGTAAGCTTCCGCCCTGACTGGAATAGGAGGTGGATAAGACACATGAAGGAAACCCAAAATACTTTAGAATACTTCACTGCAGACAAACAGAAGTAACTGACATGGGAAAGCTCTCTGACAATTCTGGGAGAGTAAAACAAATATAGAACCAATTAATAAATGCTATTTCTTAAAAAGAAAAACAACACATGGTACTCCTAAGGATTAATTATAATAGAAAAACTCTGAAGGCCTTACTTTAGTTCATTAGCAAAATTAATATATGTGCTGCCAAAGCGAGCACTTCATTAGCAAAATTAATGAACAGAATCCTAAGATTCAGGAGAAAACATCTAGGTAGAAAAATGTGTGACCACATCTTTATTTCTGTTTTATTAAATATTAGAGGACAGGTGATCAACATCTATATATTTTTAATGAAACAAATATATTACCAATATCTAGGCATGCAAGAGCTTATTAGATAAAATGCTCTAATATTTCCTCCAAAAATGACCAAGTTTATTACCAGCACATGGAAAGAATCAAAATTACGGATTCAAGGATGTAAAAATTTCTTAATTTTTAAATTTAAAGTACTGGCTGGGGAGGAAGGAAATATAGCATATATATATATATTTTTACCCCTATTTTACTAACTAAAGGCAAATGCTGTTAGAATATATAAATGAATTCTACAATAAATTAGAATAGAAAATAAATGGTGAAAAAGTCCATTATAAAGTAAAAAGAGAAGTTTAGCATGTATCACGAATTACTTAGTAGTCAAGCCAGAAAGTGTTAAAATAGGACAGGAACTATTTTATTAAAAAAGTTATAGAACCTGAAGACAAGGAGAAAAAAGAAAGTAGTGGTCTTTATGGAGGACGACAGAATTGATCATGTATGTAGGAGTGGGGTGTGAACCTCCCTAGAGACTGGGAAGCCAGCAGATCCCACCTCTGTCTTCTCACTTGAACCTGTTAAAAATGGCCAATATCTTCCCAGCAATAGCTTGTATATATCTGGTGCCTTACCTTTTGTAGCTGCCTCCCAAAGGTTGGGTCCCTGGACCTGGCTTTGATAAGCAACAGGGCTTGCACTCCTGGATCCCAAAGAACTGTAGCAGAGAAGCGATTATCACTGGAGGCAGGAGCCCACCCCCACCCACCCCACCCCCGCTCCCCAACTCCCAGTTCCAGTGCAGAGGCAGCTGGCAACAAGTCTGCTGTCTGCTTTCTCTCCGGAAAGGCCATAAGTATGAACCTTTCCAGCTGCTGCCCGACAGTCCTGCCTGCATCGAGGTGAGATGCTAACTGCAGTTCTCTCCTCTGGGACAGTCCCAGGTATTGGCATACCCTAGGATCCAGTGAAAACCAGGCAGCAGGGGCAATCACAGAAGATTAACAGACAACAAAGACCTTCAGCTGGCTCTCAGAGGAGGCTCATCTCCACACTATGTGACTCTGTCAAGGCCATGAGATGTGGCAGTTTTATCTAATGGGCAGAAACCACCTAAGAGAATCAAGGAAAATGAAGACAGAGGGATTTGTTCTAGAGAAAAGAACAAAGATTAAACTTAACTAGACCTTAATGAGACAGATATAACTTATTTATCTGACAAAAAACAGCCATAAAGATGCTCACTGGGTTAGGAGAACAATATAAACAAGGGGAGACTTTCAAAAAAGAAAATATAAAAGGACTAAAGAGAAATCAGAGCTGAAGAATATAGTAATTGAGCTGAAAACATAAGGAGGAGACAGACTTTACCACGTGGAAGAAAAGAACAGTGAAATCAGGGTAGTGAATCTAATCTGATCAGAAGAGACAGAAGGAAGGTGACTCAAAGCACTTACGTGACAATATCAAGTGGACGAATACTTGCATTATTGGGGTTCCAGAAGACAGAGGGGGCACAGAGCTTATTCAAAGAAATAATGGCTAAAACTTTAACCTTAGGAGACAAATCAAGATTTGGGGCGCCCAGAGTTCCAAAAAAGATGAATCACACAGCCCCACACTATAATTAAATTCTCAAAGGCTAAAGCCAAGCAAAGAATCTTAGAAGCAGAAAGAGAAAAATGACTTGTTACCTATACAAGGCACACACACCCTGTAAAACTAGTGGAGTTTCAGCAAACTCTGAAGGCCCGAAGAGACAGCAGGATATATTCAAAGTGCTCAAAGAAAAAAAAATGCTAACCAATAATTTACCCAGCAAAGTTGTCCTTCAGATTTGAATGAAAGTTTTCCAGACAAGCAAGAGCTGAAGGAGTTCATCACCACCAGGCCAGTCTTGTAAGAAATGTTAAGGGGACTTCTTCAACCTGAAAGGAAAGAATGCTTATCAGTAACAAGGAGATATCTGAAAGTGTCAGCATCCCAGGCAAAGACAAATACATGGTCAAGTTCAAAATAGTCTAATGTAATGGTGGTGGGCAAATCACTTACAATTCTAGTATGAAAGTTAAAAGACAAAAATATTAAAAATAAGTAACTACAAAAATTTTCAATGGATGTATAGAAGGTAAAAACATATAAATTGTGACATCAAAACCAGTGTGGCAAGGGAGTGTAAAAGTGTGGTTTTTGTATGCATTTGAAGTTAGTTATAGTTTAAAATAGACTTATAAATTGTCTTCTCTGAGCCTCATGGTAACCACAAAACAAACACCTATGATAGATACACAAAAGATAGAGACGACAAGAATCGAAGGATGTCAACCACAAAAAAATGATCAAATCACAGAGAACAAGAGATGAAAAAGGAAACAAAAGAATTACAAAGCAGCCAGAGAATTATCAAAATGGCCATAAAAGTCCATACCTGTAAACAAGAACTTTAAATACAAATGAACAAAATTCTCCAATCAAAAGACACAGGGTACCAGAATGGAGAAATAAAGACTTTACTGTGTGTTGCCTGTAGGAGACTCACTTCTGCTTCAAGGACATACAGACAGAAAGTGAAGGGTTTCTAGTGTATGGGAGCCAAAGAAAGTAGGGTACCTACATTTGCATTGGGCAAAATAGGCTTAAAGACAAAAAACTATGTAAGATGTAAAGGAGGTGGGAGGCAATCCAACAGGAGGTTGAACAATTTCAAATATATACACACTGAACATAGGCGTATAACGCAACTGTAGGGAACTTATGTTTCATATTCAACAATGGAGAGATCATCCACACAGAAGATCAATAAGGAAACACTGGACTTGAATAACCCGTTAGACCAGATGGACTTGGATATTTCAGAACATCCCATCCAACAGCAGCAGAGTACACATTCTTCTCAAGTGCACAAGGGACAGCATCCAGGACAGATTACAGGTTAGGCCACAAAAGAAATTTTACTAAGTTTAAGGTGATTGAAATCTTATCCAGAGTCTTTTCTAACAGTGGCATAAAACTGGAAATCAATTACAAGAAGAAAAAATGGAAAATTCACAAATATATGGAGGTTAAAAAACATGCTACTGAATAATCAATGGGTCAGAGAAGAAATCAAAGGAGAAGGACAAAAAATCTTCACATGGGTGCCTGGCTGGGTCAGTCTGCAGAGCATATGACTCCTGATCTCAGGGGCTCATTGAGTTTGAGCCGTGTGCTGGGTACAGAGATTACTTAAAAATAAAATCTTAAAAAAATGTGGACACACACAATATTGAACACAAATGAAAACGGAAATACTACATACCAGAACTATGGGATGCAGTAAAAGCAATTAAAATAGGGAGGTTCACGGTGATAAATGTTCACATTAGGAATCAAGAAAGATTTCAAACACACTACACCTCCAGGAAAGGAAGAACAAACAAGCCCTAAGTTAACAGAAGGACATGAAATAGAGATTAAAAGGACAATATTAAAGATCAACAGAGTTAAGAGCTGATTTTTTTTTTCTTCAAAGATTTATTTATTCATTCAGAGAGAGCGAAGAGAGGGGCAGAGACACAGGCGGAGGGAGAAGCAGGCTCCATGCAAGAAGCCCGATGTGGGACTAGATCCTGGGTCTCCAGGATCACACCCCAGGCTGCAGGCGGCACTAAACTGTTGTGCCACCAGGGCTGCCCTGATTTTTTGTTTTGAAAGGCAAAAACACAAAAACCATTAGTTAGACTTACCAAGAACGAGAGAACTCCCTTTGACAGCACATATACTAAAATCAGAACAAAAATAAGAGAACTCAAGTAAGTAAAAGTATAAATGAAGGAGGAAACATTACATGAATACCACACAAAGACACAGGACAATGAGATTACACTGAATTACCAACAAATTAGAAAACCCAGAAGAAATGGATAAATTTCTAGAAACATACAACCTACCAAGATTGAATCACGAAGAAACA